CATCCGTGTCTCTTGTGTCCGTTACAAATCGGTGCCCAGGTCATGGTTGATTGAATGAACGGATCTGCAGTTACCTGGTTTTAATTTTTTCTCACGTCGTAATTTTTATGCTTGAACAAACGATCAATCTTGTATTCTCCCTGTATGTTCCTTTGTAATCGTGGCATCGACATTTGTCTCCTGAAAGCCCTCTCGTTTTGGTTACTAAACTACTCATCCGTTACACGCCCCGATTTTCTGGTTTGTACTGTTCACTCAAAAGCTCTCACTTTTTTACTGTGGTAAACTTTGGCTGCTCACAACTACCCCAATAAACACGAATGACCGTTAGGTGACTGATTAATAACTGAACTTCGTCCCATGGGTAATCGAGAAGCGCCTGAAAATGAGTCCGGCTGGACAATTTTCGGTCACTCAGCAAAAAATTTGCCAGCATAACTCCACTTGCCTTTATTCGTTAACATTCACCTCAGTAATACGCAGTACCGACGCTTTGATGCGGCGCAACCAACGCCGGTCGCCCGTGTGCTAAGCATACTGTGAAGGTCGCCTTGACCCTACGCACGCTCAAACCCTCGCTGTCAGAATACAACACAAGCTTGTTATCTTTAGGCTACTGGCTTGCCTTTACACGTTTCCCTAAATTTCCCCTACTCCAATCTACCTACAATCCCATTTTCGTGTACTCACTTTTGATACGCTCAGTAAATCTTTATACTCCTTTTCGCGGAAAATATTCATTTTCAGCAAAAAAGTTGTTACATTCTGGCGTATAATACGACCGTTTTTTCCTTCGGTGCATCATCATCGCGCATTTTCGTTCTTTGAATATTGTGTTTCATGATGGCATCCATGGTGCGAAATGGAACCTGTGATTTCGTTTTTTACATATGCACATACCTTACTAATAACCACGCGGGCGAAACGTATATCAGCTAGGTGGTACTTACTCTTTAAACGTAGCCAATCCAACTTCTGGCGAAGGAAATCACCATGTGATGTTTAGGACACATTTCGAAGGCTTTTCGCACCAACTGGAGCTATAAACGGCACCTAATACATGTATTGCAACAAATGATGTCCTACCATTTATTCAGGGTACTCGCGCTCCTTGTTGTGATACACCGTTCCCTCGACTCGACTGGAACAGGAACGGGCAGTCCATCTGAAATGTGTGTTAAAGTATGAACTAAATAGGACAATGAATGTAATATGTGGTAAACATCACCGATTCGTACTTTCAGTCAACACGAGCGACCGATATGCCGCCTCTAAGTGACCATCTTTTTCGCCCTGGGCAGTCCCACTAAGACACATGTGGGACGGAAATTGGTCACTGAACCATTTTCGATGCGGTCTTACGTCTTCATTACTGTGTTGTTGCAATCTGTGAAGCGATTTTCTCTGGGCATTTCTGGTATTTGCAACCAGCAAAATCGATTCACGGTATACCTTAAGGGTACACTGGAAGGGAACTTTATGAGTTACCAAATTTGTCTCATGACATGCTGGTGCGATCAAATGCAAGAAACACGGTCACTCCACCGTTCGCACAGATGGACGACCGGCTTGTTCTTAGTCAGTAGCAGAGTTGAAGAGAAAATAATAACTGGTATGAAGTATTAGTATGTTTCAGTAATACCGCTATCTTTAACTGTGTTTAGCTTCTTAATGAAATCAAACTCAATCAATGCGAGCGATCGACAGATTGCCGCTGAGTGACTGCTTTTGTGCTCCTGGCCATCTCAGACGTTTACGCTTGGCCTTACGGCTTAAGTACTGCTTGATTACGATTCGGGAATCGATTTCCGTTAATTGTTAACAACATTTGCAACCAAGGAAATGCACTTTATTTCTTAAGCGTGCACTGGATATTTTTTGAGTTCAACGTTCATATCAAATATGTCTCAATGGGGCAACCAGGAGCACAAACCAGTCATTTGAGGAGCTCCAACGTGTGCAATTAATACCGGACTTCACGCATCTAAGTGCATAGGCCACTTTAATCCAGTTCCAACAAGCACTCATGGGTCACACAAGTTCCATGAGGACAATGAAACGGATGCCGCATTGCTTAGTATAAACAACAAATAGAACAATTTTTTGCCCTAAACGATTACGAAACGCACGATTGCTATGACTAATCAAAATAGCATGTTGGAAAAATCAAAGTTCCTTTTAGATAGAATCATAATTTTCTGAGTGACCAAAATGAATCCTCTATCGGTCACCCGAATGATTGATGGCACTAATAGGCAGACCGCATATATACACACCCACAAGCACCATAAATACCGATTCATCGTTTGCACTCGGTTCATTGAGCTTACTTGGAAATGTTTATTTCAGTCAAGTTGTATTCACATTATGTATTCAATACTTAAACCATAAACAATTGGCAGAGTGCCACAACACATTGGTAACAAAACAAGGAGAAGAAGCAGTCAGGGGAAGGCATACGAAATCTTAAGCGTTTTTTTGGACAGAAAGCTTCCCGGTTGCCCAGGCCGAAGATGAGGGTTGACTTGTAGGACCCCACCCCGAACCTTTGATCCTGAAGACCTGATCCGCAAGACACTGGGGCGATTCACGCATCTAGCTGGAACGTCCGACCAGCTGCTGAATATGTAGACCGTTAACAGCGAGGTGGCTCATTTGCCTTCTTTATGTTCGGTAACAGTTCAACCAGGATCCTTTGGCCAACAAGGTTTTTCCCTTCGTTAGGTGCTCACCGTTGGTTACAGAAGTGAGTGGTCAGTAACCCTAAAACCGGTCACATTAGCTCTGAAGCAGTGCCGTACTAGCTCTTGTAGTATTTGTTGGAGAACCAGGTGACCAGCCCAGAACTCTCCACGCTCAGAGACGCTGCCACTGATTGTCCTCGACCGCTTATTCGTCTCGCTTGCAAGGCAAGCTGGACTTATTCGCAGTTACTTCCACAATCAAGACATTCCTTGATCCTCAACCTGGGGACGCGCCGGCTAGCGTACAGCTCCGCCACGGGATCTCAGTCGAATGCGGATGGAGCACTGTGGCGTATCATGTAGTGAGTAATCGCGCTAATCTAGATTATAAATGTCGATCTCCTACGTCACGCCAATGAAAATGCGCTCATATTTTTATGGCCAGGACTAAAAATGACTCACTTATGGGTTCACGCCAACTCACACTTGACATTGTCTTTGTCGGTGTCCTCTGCTTGCAGCTACTGACATCTCTCTTGTAACTATTTCGACCTTACTGGACTGATTCGTCAGGGTCCGCCGCTTCGGTCTGATCTCGCTCCGCATTGAGTACTGTTGACACCTCTCAGCATTCTGGTTACGTTTCTTGCACGTCTCAACTACTTTCTTTACTCACATGGATGCTGCATCATTAATACCCATTCCTACGGCTCATGCATCGCTTGCATGGTCCACAAAGGATAAACACTGGTACTGATCCGAAGAATGCCAGAGATCTTTAGAGATGTGAAAAGAGCGTTACGTTCCGATCTTCTGTTTGGCACATTATGATCCTGTCCTAGAAATTGTGATATCCGTAGACTCGCCGAACCGCGGCATCGGTACAGTCATTGCCCATAAGTTCGCATATGGTTCCAGAAAGGCGATTGCACGCTTAGACACTTGAAGGTGAATAGGAAAAAAACCACTCGGGAGTATTGATTTTTTCGTGTTTATGCACAACTCGAAGTTGAAACTCCAAGTTCCGAGTCAATGCCGCCCACAAACACGTCGATCATACACAAGACAATGTTATGGTCGATATCTAATACACAAGGAGACCGCGGTGGACGCTAGACCTACTTCAAATTAGATTCAAATAAATGTTATTGGGTGATCGAATTCGGACCAGACATGTCGATCGGCTGTGACCATCTAGCTTCTCAGCAAACACGGTCGGTCGCTACCGCTGAACATCCTCCTAGACAATCTCGATATGCGATGTGGATTCGGAACACTTCGGCGTTACTTAGCATAGTTAATTCAGCGAAGCTGAGCATGCAACCACAACGCTGGGCGGTTAGAATACAGGAGCCTATATCCAAATTGCAACTGGACCTAAGCAGCAAATCGTGTGCATTTCTGCGCGGGAGGTGTTAATGGTGCTCATTTATAGAGGCCTTTTCAAGCACTTTTCGTGCTGGTAATCAGAGCAGAAGCCTTGACCAATTCTGTTGACGAGAAGCCCGTCATTGGGAGTGTCTATCGACCTATGGTAGTTTCTAGTGGCACGGAACCTTCCTCTAGGTCTTTTTTGCTGAGGTATTTAATCAAAGTTACTTTGGTTGTTATAACATCTTCTGGGCACAATGGAAGGTTTTGTCAAAGCCTCTGTCTTCGTAGGTGGAGAGAGATTTGTCTGGGATTTGAACTGTGTGCACCTGTTTTCCTTGGTGTCAGACGAAAACTCGATGGGCTTCATAAGCTGTCAGCAGTACAGCAGTGTGCTGGACATTCAAAACTTCTTGTACGCGGACGAAATGCTTCCGAGGTGCTCAGACGCATATAGTTAGCAGAGGAGCTGTCAGCAGTACGACAATACGTCACACAGTCACTTCGCTATCACACAATCACAACCGGTCTCGTGCGGACTACAAATAATGCAGGTTCACACACTACTACACCGGATTGAACAGGCGAGCAGTGGATTATAAGTCAGACACGTTATTCTCTTGACCACAAGCCCAGGATCGAAGTGAGCATCTCCTCTGTACGTATGTAGATTTAAGACTTTGGCTGTTTAATGATAAGACTGTCTTGGGAATTTGATTCTGTTATCCCCTCTGGCTTTGCGTTTAGTTTCCAATGCAAACTAGACTAGCATGCTTCCTTTTGATTTCCGTCTAATTCTGTTCACGGCAACCCGACCAGTGGCTGATACCTCTGAGCTTCGTTTTCTTCGGTCTCACTTTGCTTCTCATTTGTCCTCTGCCTCGTCTGTTACAACTGCCTCCTCGCGTGCTTACCCATATCGCTCTCTTTCTTTTGCTTTTCCAGCCACGCCAAACTAAAACGAGAAAAGAATGATTTTTTAAATGAAGAAAGCAAGTTAGCCACTGTAAGTTACCACCTGTTTATCACGATGACGAATTTTTGTGTATTTACTCTATATTTGGTTGAGCGCTAGTCAGTCATCGTTATATATATATATATATATATATATATATATATATATATATATATTTCATGCAATGATGTGTTTTTGATGCGGCTTGTGCTTACGGTGTTCGTGTGCAGCACACCGTATTGATGGTGGATTGCTGAACATCCGTCGTTTCGGTGCGAAAACTAGTCTGTGAGACAACTATCCGTATGTTGCTGTTTGCTGACATCTGTGCGTTGTTTGCACACAGCGCGGAGGAGTTGCAGCACATAACTAGTGCTCTGGCTTCGGAATCACCATCAATACAAGCAAAACTGTCTGTCTTTTTCAGCCTTCACCGGAGGTGCAATCTTCAATATTGCCCCAAATCACCATTGGTGCTGAAGTATTAGAAACCACCTCCCGATTCTGCTACCTTGGGAGTGTGATGTCGACTGACCAATAGTTACACATTAAGTTGCGTATCCGAGTATCGAAGACAACGGCGGCATTTAGGAAGCTAGAATATCGGGTGTGGAACAATTATTAGCTTACCGTTGGCACAGGACTGATGGTATACAAATCCATGGTGCTGTCCGTTCTTCCATACGGCAGCGAAACGTGGGCGATGTACCGGCGGGATGTGGGATATCTCGAGCGATTCCATCGGCAGTGTTTGCGACGGATCCTGCGCATCGGTTGGTACGACAGAGTTGCGAACACAGAGGTGCTGCGCCGAATTGGGATGTATGCAGTGGACTGCATACTTTTGCTGCAACAACTGAGGTGGCTCGGTCATGTGAGCTGCATGGATTCAACGTGGATGCTGAAAAAGCAATTATATGATCAGCTGCGTATTGGGAAGTGGCATGTGGGGAAACCGAAGCTTCATTACCAGGACATGATAAAAGTGAGCCTCTCACGTTATAATCTTGATTGCCGGTCATGCGAATCGAAAGCGGTTGATCGGCGTACATGTCACTATCTGATCACGAAGGCGATTGCCAAGCTGCAGGAGAAAGATCTCATACATGCGTAGAAGAGGCGGCAAGTGCGGATGCGACAGGTGCTGATGGATTGTACTCCATCGACATCGAGTGCATGGTGCTGTAGCCCATGCGGTCGCGAGTGCCTGAGTCAGGCAGGCTTAGTGAGCCATGAGCGGGGTCACTCTGGGCTACCACCAAAGCGACGCCGGGTCCTGCAAAGAACGTAGGCAGAACCGGCGCAGTGTTGGTAGGTACGCTGCATTCGATTTACTTACCGCTTGCTTGCATGCTGGGTCTCTTTAGTATATATATATATATATATATATATATATATATATATATATATATATATATATATATATATATATATAGAGAGAGAGAGAGAGAGAGAGAGAGTGTGTGTGTGTGTGTGAAACTTCCTAACTTAAGAGCGGATCAGTATGTACAGAAATGTTCATGCTCTTGCATGGGTATATTTTAGCGCCACTTCTTAGCCTTTTAGATATTTTTAGGACCATCTTGGATTATTTCATCTGATGAGTTGTCACATGAGAACATGGATGATATCACTTCTAAATCAAAGAATCTGTCGTGTTAGATGTAGAATGAAGTGGGGTTTTCCCCATCTCCTGATTACGGTTGGTGAGCTGTTCCACAAGACGGCGTGTCTGATGAAGAAAAGTTCCGCCGCTTTGATGTTTTAGCCCTCGGTATCCGTAGCGAAATTTTTTTGTTACGGAGTCTGTGATGGTTTTGTGTCGTATCTATCTTATCTACACTTTTTGGTGCAAACGATTGTGTAGGAGCATCAAGTTTTGCTTTAGACGTCGCAGCCAGAGAGGCTCGATGTGAAGGTGTTTGCAACCTTCGCAATGGGTTAGAGTGGGTATGTTGTTGAAAAAACGTTTGGTGAATGACCTCAGTAAATTTCCTATAGATTTCCTATCTAACTTCCTCATGCTGCCATAGGTGAAGTTGCAGTATTCGAGAATAGGACGAGTGAGAGTTTTAAATAATTCCAATCTGGCGGGGACTGTATGGATTTTGTGGCATATGTTAGCTACGGATTGTTTATCCCGTAGCGGATTCCGTGCTCACGAGTAGACTGCCGTATGGACATAATTTTGTTAAGTTTACTTGACCCATTGGGGATTGAACAACCACATGGTATAATGTTTGATTTCTCGGTTGAGAGTTTGATCAACCACGTCTCAGACCATTTTTTAAGGGAGAGAGAGCATTCTTCAAGTAGTGTGCTCTGAAGCTCATCACGCCGGAGTTTGTAAGCAATCTCGATATCATCTGCAAATAGAGGGTTGACCATTTTTGCTGGAGCTGCCAATATCATTGATGTGGAAGAGAAAAAATAGAGCGCTGAGTACAGTTCCTTGGATGACGCCGCTGGTTATTGGACGAGGAGAAGAATGGTGATCACCCAAAGTGACTATTTGAGACCGATTGCTAAGGTAGGAGGAAAGCCAACTTAAAAGCGGGTTCTGGATTCCAAAGGATTCAACTTTCTTCAACAACCGTTGTGTGGTACACGGTCAAATGCTTTTTCTAGGTCCAAAAACAAGATTATTATTGTATAACCGGAGTCTATGAATTCTGAAGTGTAGTCAAGGTAGTGTAGCTGGCATGTCGTGCAGGAACATCCATCAAGGAAGCCATGTTGAGATATGTTAAATAGGTTAAGAGAATTAAGGAACTCCGATAACGTTTTATTGACTAATCTTTCAAACAGAATGGCAATAGTGGGAGTATGATAAATCGGTCGATTGGGACCACTTTTATGGGCTTGGGATAATGAATGAGGTTACCCAATCATCAGGGAAGTAGCTAGTTTTTAGTGATAAACTGAATATGTTCAACATTGGTAATAATGGTAAGTCTGGCCCTCCCTCCCATTTTAATCGCAGTTGAAGATATGCCGTCGGAGTCCAACCTGAGCGAAGGTTTGATGGTTTTCATTAGCCGCTGAATAGTGCTGAGAGCAGTTTCGACACTGCCTAGACTTTTGTTGTAGCGGATTGAGAGAATTCAGGTATGAAGTCAGATTCGAAAATCATAGAGGCAGCAAAGAAGGCGCTAAGCGCCTCACTAATGGCAAGTGCGTCACTCAACGATTTACCATGTTCATCCAACTGTACCGTGAAAGGAGAAGAGCTGTTGCCGGTTCTATGACGAAGAACAGCGACGCGTTTCTTTGTTTTGCTGCCTGTTCCTAGACAATTTTCTTCCTCGCTTTTACGTCGCATTACTTGCGCACGTTTGATCCTGTTGGTCCATTTGTGCACTTGCAATATTGTCGAGAAGTCCCCGGTCATGTGAAGTCTCGCCATCAATTTTCTCCTTTTCTGGGTGAGTAAGCGTTCCTTTGCATTCTTAGAGCCGTAAGGAACACGTTTGCTTTGTGTAGTAAGCTGGCTTATGGCATAGTGGATGTTAGTATAGAACTGTGCTACTGTCAGGCAAATATTGGTGGATAGAAAAAATGTATCCCACTCGGCAGATCGGATCAAATGTTGGAATTGTGTCCAATCAATTCCCTGGATGGAATATTGTGGGAGCAGTTTCTGTTTGGCATCTGATCTGATATTGAAAATGAATTGTGATGTTTTGTGGTCACTACATGGGAGACAGTCCAGCAGAGGGATGTTTGCGTCGATGATTCTTAATGTAAGTATTAAATCAAGTACGCTAGTGGACTTAGTAGGCTCTGTAACCCATTGTGTCCATGCTTCAGCCATGATAGTTACAAGAAATCTGAATGTGTTAACGAAGATGGATTTGGTGACCAAGATATTTTCGGGAAATTGAAGTCTCCAGCTATTATTTTCTGTTTGTAAGGCAGCACTGATGCAAAATGTAATGCGGAGCAGATGGTGGCAACATCACCAGTTGGGACATTCGCGGGTTGTAGATGCATCCAAGAAGTATATGGTGCCAAGTGCTAGTAACAAATAACCACAGCGATTCTGGGACCTTTTCTAGCTCATGATAGCCAAGTGGCCTCGCTGGGAATGTCCGATGCGTATATATAATACATGATTATATATATATATATATATATATATATATATATATATATATATATATATATAATACATCCGCCCCCCCACGCCCTATGCAGCGACCTTTACGAAATAGTTGGTAGTTGGGGATTGTTAAGGTTGAATCCAACGTATTAGTAGAGCACCACGTTTCATTGACAAGGATTGCACTGTGTTCAACTGTCATGGAGCCATCACCCGGATTTAACATTTCCATCACACTACGTGAGCAGCTTGGTACCCAAATCAGGTCTGTCAATTTTGCTGTTGTATCTTCATACAGCACCGGTTGACATCGGTGTTACTCAAAAAACAGCATTTCGGTAGCCGCATTTTCAACTATCCACGTGGTTTCGTCTTTTTCACATATCTGCTGGACGCTGTTTTGTCAACAAAAATGTCACGAGCATTGGCTTCTGATTTTATCACATACGCGAAGAGTATAATTTATCCCTTTGGTACCATTTTCTGTAGGTGCGTATTCAATTCAGTGTCCTTATTTATGATTGTTTCAACGATAGAACACACTTACTCCGAGGGAGGGGCGCACCACCAGGTTGCATTGCCTGTTAGCTGATTTGACATAGCGTGTGAACTTCGAAAGACGCTGTTGGCCCGTAACCTTATGGACCAAACGCGGGCCTTGCAATTCGGAGGCGGGGGTTCGATACTGCGCTGGGACCTGTCGACCCTCGCAATATCCTTAGCCAACGTGCGACTGGTGGTGGTTACGCGGTAGCGAAGCTTACCGGCGTACTGTTGATGCCTTTTTTTCTTTTCAGAAGACGATTTAGTTCGATCAACAGTATGATTAGTGAAAACGAACGTTGCCATTTACCAGTTAACCTGAAAATGTGGAACTGTGTAGGTTGTGAGACAGCAGCAAGCAATTAGCCGAAAGTCACTAAACGGCATTCGTTACGTCAGGTATTTT